AAAAGGCCTTTCCTTTATCTAACAGCCCCTGCAGAAAAGTGGTGTTTGCTGTTACAGAGCATCAAAAAACAAAAAACTTATTCTATTACAGTGACATTGTGGAGGGGGCCCTAGCACTATGAATAGTGACTATGACCCTCTAAGGTAGTCCTTCCGTACTCAGATTAGCCCACAGGGCAAGGCGGGGTTATACGTTTCCCCCCCTAGCCTGGGAAACTAGGTCTCGTTGGAGGGGAAAGACCTTCCTGGCTGTGACAGCTGCCAGTGACACCCACTGAGTGAGAAATGTAGGATTTCTCCAGTGGCAGAGTGCTGCAGTGCAGTGTGCTGTCACTCTGATATGGTAGTAGGCATGGCACTTTGGGCATAGTTTCAGTGATGCAACCCATCACTGAAATCCCCTCACATGCAGTCTGCCTAGTGGGATGACTGCCAGTGAAGATGCCATTAATTCCAGCATCTGCTGGCATAGCCTAAATAGGAGACATCTCCACACCATGAAAGAGATGGGCTGAGTTGGCAGCAGGACACTCTTTTTGTAGATTGTAGTGAAACCCAGAGCCATCAGGTGATCCACTGCCACCCAGCAGCTAATCGTCTATGCATGTTGCTAGGTGCGCTTCATGAATACCCAAGGGCTCAGTGAGACAAATGGCAGGACCAAGTACTCGTGCGTTTTGCTCTGAATCACCACTTGCAGGAATTTAATGTGAAGTGGGTAAATCGAGATGTGAAAATATGGGTCCTTCAGGTCTATTAATGTAAACCAGTCACCTGGGCGCACTACATGTAGAGCAGAGTGGCATTTGTCAGCATCCTGAACTTGTAAGTCCTGAAATGCTGATTCAGTGCCCTTTAGTCCAGTATCAGACGCAGTCCCCCTTCCTTCTTGGGAACGAGAAAATACTTTGAGTAAAATCTGCATTGGCTCTGCTCCTGAGGTATTTCTCATATTTATTGCAAGGTAGATATTTCTTCTTGCAGTATTCTGGCTGATTCATGATTTTGCATGAGAGGAAATAACTCTGTGAAATCTGTAAGGGTTGGTTGCAAATTGCAAGCGGTATCTTCGCTTGAATGCCCTCACAGCCCACTCTCCTCATCTCTCTACTCTTGCTGAGAGAACGCCCAAAGCCAGGCAGCCCACAGTGGAAATTACTTTGGCTCCCTCTTGTGATGGAAGAAGGTTTTGCAACCAAATCCCAATTGCCCATGCGGGTGGTCTGAATTTGACCAGCATTCACTGAGGAAATGTACCCCAGTGGTGTTTGGGGGGTGTGAGGGGATTATGCCAAGGGCATGGGATTATTTTCCCAAATTACATTTAGGCTTCACTTTTCCACACCTGTAATATGAAGTAATCCAGTCAGTGAGATGATGTGAGGAAAAAGAAAGACGTCCAAAAAGCGTGGACATAGACTTGTATGTTAGGATTCCTGATTATCCTTTGGTAAGAAAATTAGTTGTGTTTGTGGTGTACTAAACTGTTTGAGTGGGTTTAGGAAAGCTTGGAAAAACATTTTATTTTTTTTAATATTGGCAATCGCATCTTTTGGCCAAGCTGTTTGTGCCGCTCGGTACATCGGGCCAGAGAGGACGAAAAGAAGTTCTAATTTGTCGATCTGGTCAGTCACCTGTCACCTGACTCAAACAGGCAATCCTCCAAAGAGTTTACAAACCTGATGATTACAGAGGTCGTGCTTTTTGTTATTTGTTGCAATTATTTTGAATTATAACGAAAGCCAGACTTATTGTATCAGATAGTAAAGCACCAAGGCATACTTTCTCTCTTTTTTTTTTAACTTTCTCTTTCTCCACTTTTACCTAAAGGAGGCCATCGCCACATCAGAAGAGCTGGGCCAGGACCTGGAGCACGTGCAGCTCCTGCAGAAGAAGTTTGAGGAGTTCCAGACGGATCTGGCTGCCCATGAGGAACGTGTGAATGAGGTGAACCAGCTTGCAGCTAAGCTGATCCAGGAATCCCATCCAGAGGCGGAGCTCATCGTGCGCAAGCAGGACGAGGTCAACGCGGCCTGGCAGCGCCTGAAGGGCCTGGCCCAACAGAGGCAGGGCAAGCTGTTTGGAGCTGCTGAGGTGCAGCGCTTCAACAGGTAAGCAGCGTCATAGCCATAACACATGAAAACCCTTACACTGTGTGTCTGTTCATTTGTTTGTTTGTCATGCTGCCGTTAGTAACAGACTGTGTGTTTACCTCGAATAGGGATGTGGATGAAACCATCAGCTGGATCAAGGAGAAGGAGCAGCTGATGGGGTCTGATGACTTTGGGCGTGACCTGGCCAGTGTTCAGGCTCTGCTGCGCAAACATGAGGGCCTGGAGAGAGACCTGGCAGCTTTGGAAGATAAGGTAGGGCATATGCCGCTCTTCGCTATGTTAGCAAATATAGTAAACGGGAAGTTAAAAACTTGATATCCTGACTTGCTGTGTTCTCCTTCCTTAAATCAGGTCAAAACTCTGGGTGGTGACGCTGAGCACCTGCAGCAGACACATCCCCAGAACGCTTCGCAGATCCATTTGAAAAAGGACGAACTTATCACCAACTGGGAACAGATTCGCACTCTGTCTACCGAGCGCCGTGCCCGTCTGAACGACTCCTACCAGTAAAATACCAATAAATGCAGTAAAACAAGCAAATCATTCATCAACCTTTCACAGAAGCCAGGAGATAAAGTTATATGCAAAGGCCATGTGTTGGAGCATATTACTCTGTTTTAAACAACATGCTGATAGCTGTTCACAATATATAATTACTTTACCTGATATGTTTTTAGAATTAACGCTGATGAACAACAACAACAAACTAATGTACCCAGGTCTATATTTGGGATGTAATGATGATCACAGTGAAATACATACACAACAAAAAATATAACTTATATCGGGGAATGAAAACACATATGCACATAAACCTTTCTAGGATTTATAACTGATTTAGACTTCTGTGTGAATCTTTGTGGACTTTGTGGGGTCTTCTGTACAGAGTCATTTTCAGTTCATATTTGCCAAGAGCTCAGGCCTGTTGAAGAGCCACTTGTCCAACCAAGTTTGCTCATTCTGTCCTTTTTTGATGATTTGTTTTAGGCTGCAGCGTTTCACTGCTGACTTTAGGGATCTGACTAGCTGGGTAACTGAGATGAAGGCTCTGATCAATGCTGATGAACTGGCCAATGATGTGGCTGGAGCTGAGGCCCTGTTAGACCGCCATCAGGAGCACAAGGTAAAATCTTCTAAACTATAGAGACCTCCAGCCTAAAGTGTCTTTGCACTTAGTGTAAAGGCTCA